TGTCCATAAAAAACAACGTAGTATATGAGACTGATCAGCAACTTTCGTAGGGGTGGAAATTGATAAATATCTGACCTTGGATAATCACATTTCAAAGATCAATAAAACTATTAGGAAAAAGACGGGTATTCTTTTAAAATTAAGACATTAGGTCTTGCGGCATATTCTCCTTTTGTTATACAAAACGTTGATTCAGCCTCATATCACTATGGTTTAGAAGTTTGGGGTAGTACATACCCGTCAAATCTTAAAGTTATACATACCGCACAAAAAATGATAGCCAGAATTATAACGTTTTCCGACTTTACTGCGCATGCTCCACCAATTTTTAATACCGTAAAATCTGTATTAGAAGCCGCATCCCTAATAGAAGTCGCACCCATTCTTTTTGAATGTTTGAGAACCAAAAATTCATCATTTCTCATATGTGTAGATGCTCTAATAGAAGCCGAATTCCCTCTGTTGCATTGTACCATTTTAATAGAAGCCGCGGTTTCTAATGCAGATTTTACAGTACTCTCCAAATTCTTGATATTTTTAAACTTCATAAGTCATTACTTTTAAGTTTTATGTATGATATAACTCATGAGAATCTCCCACAATCAATGTCAACATATAATTTGCAGTATTTACATCATAAATATAAAACACGACAAAGATGTCGAAATGATTTACTTGTACCTATAATGAACACAGTAGCGGGGACATTTGCAATATCTTATTTAGGGGCCAAACTTTGGAACAGCATATCAATTTCTTTAAGGTCTAAACAAAAACTTACATTCAAAAATACTATACGGGAAAATTTATAGTCAGAGTATTTAGAATAGAACTAATATTTATTATAAATGTATGTATATACATATATATATATATATATATATATATATATATATATATATATATATATATATATATATATATTATTATATTATCATATTTGTTTATTTGAAATATACTGAGGTGTAACCTACTGTCAGTCTTAACTTAAGTCATTAAATTCAAGTTACCGGTATGTCAGGGATCTGACTCGACTAGCTTTTAAGCTATTTCAGATTCCATTTTACCTAGACTGCATGTACAATTTTGAGTATTGTATGAAATATTTTCTAGGTAAATAAATTATTATTATTATTATTATTATTATTATATTTAATGGTTCAGGCAAAAATAAATCTATTATTGAAAGTGGTAAATTTACTTCAAAATTATGTTCTGACAAGTTGTTATCTGAAAAGTTCCACATCAAATTCTGTAGGAGAGTTTCTGGTGCTCATAGAAAGTCTTCTAACAGTGCTTGTCATGGTGAATTAGGTCGGTTGACATTTGTAGTTTGGTGATGAAATTTTATCAAAGACTGTATTGTCAACAAACTAATAATATTATGCTTAATAATGTAGAAATTAGTTCAAGTCATAATGATCACTGGTTAGTATTATTAATAAATTATTGAAAATCACTCAGTTAAGTTCTATTGACCTTAAAACTAAAGATTTCAATGTTCTTTTCAGGGAAAGAATTATGAATGTGTATCAGGACAAGTGCAAAAAGATGCACAGAACAACACAAAAATTACAAAGAAATTAAGAATGATAAACATGTTTCTTTTCAAAATATAAATATTACAAATAAAAACACAGGATTGCTCTGACAAGGTATCGGCACATTTCTTACCAGTTGAATCTGGGAGACACAGGGATTAAGAGAGAAGAAAATTCATGATTGTAACAAGATTGGAGATGAAAAACATTACTTACTTCATTATCAATATAGCATTATCAAAGAATGTAGCTGGGAATTTCTTCCAGCTCTATTTATTTATGAACCATTTTTACAAAATGTCAGTATTGACAGTAATGTCACAAGTTTATGTTCATCTCCGGTCATTTTTTTGTAGTGTCCTTGATTATTCTCAAATCATGCATTTCATGTTTTTGAATGCAGTGGTAATCTCGCTCCTTTCTATCATTACGCAATCAAAACGTTTTCAGTAACCACTATTGGTTAGAACTATGTTCGATTGTCCAGCACTGAATGGAATCACTCTCAAACACTGTCAAATCCTGAGAGTATTCTTCTCATGATATCTTCATCCTATAGCACCTTACATGGTTGCTATGGTGATGAAAGTTGCATACCCTTATCTTATACATCCTTGTCTGTGTTGATTATAATTAGTATTTTTTCTCAATCGTGTTCTGGGTGAATATTTACATCTGGTTATTTTTGTCAACAGGAAAAGTGTTGTGGAGTGTATAATTACACTGATTGGTGGGTTGCCAATCCCAGCTGGAATTTAACAAAATTGCCTGATTCTTGCTGTGTTAAACATACAATTGGTTGTGGCACATTTACACCAGAATCTTTTTCTGTTGGTGATTTCTCAGATGTCGTAAGTGTAATTTATTTCATCATAGATTGAATTACTAAAACATATTACAAAATGTATAAGAATGTTGCTTGATTGCAAGTTTTTATCAGAATAAATTCCATCCTACACCACTTCTGGTTATCTGTCAGTATGCATGCTACCAAAAAAAGAGTTGGCTGAACTTTTTTTTACTATTAACAAGTTGATTAAACTTCCAAAATATATTTTAGCAAAAAAAAGATCAGCTTATCACCATATTTTTAAAAAGAAATATGAACAGAAACTTTTTTTTGTAGGGTCGAATAGCATTTAAATTTGTTATCGTAAAGAACATTCACCCATTTTCAATCTGCATGGTTGTGTCACACCTTCAAATTTATAACTGAAATTGCTTGCATAAATTGTCCTGTAAAAGTATGAGACTTTCTCCAAAATGTATGTTTGAACATTGTTTGGGCAGTAGATTTTAAGTCAGATACAAAACCCCCCCATATTCCGACTCTTCTAAGATATAGTCTTCTCCACAATTTAATCATACTTCAGCCTCAATATTTCATATTTGATCAGACTCATTTCCCATATATCTCAGAAGAATTTTCATATCAGTATAGAAAACATGTTGTTGCAATCAATTTTGCCACAACTATGTCAATTGTTAAGAGCAACTACTGGTAGTAAATGATTCATGCCAGGATGGCTGATTATCACCAAAACATTATAAAACCTTATATTAGAATAATAAAACTGATTCATGCTCAAATCTTTGGTTTAAAAATAATATTGGTTATGTAAAATATTACAATTCAAATGATAGTCATATTTTTTGGTAGTTAACAGTTTATTTGTTTTTTTAGGGATGTGGAAATGCATTGCAAACAATCATTGAGAGTAACTTGTACCTGATTGGTGGAGTTGCCATTGCTGTTGCAGTTATACAGGTAAACCAACCAATCATAATTCACTTTACAAATAATTTTTGTTTTATCTGTGACTTTGTATCACAAATACATGGTTAGCACATAGTTGGTACATGGTTAGCACATAGTTAGTACATGGTTAGCACATAGTTGGTACATGGTTAGCACATACATTGTAGTTGGCACATGGTTAGCACATAGTTGGTACATGGTTAGCACA